AAATTTGGGATAACGCAGATTTGAAAGTTCGAAGTTTGGTTCTCGAGAAGTAATCTTAATCTTGGTTCAAGCGTTGCACTTCTTATCGCTAACATTTCACATAATAAAGTTTTTGTAAGATCTTCTTCTTCTTATAATTGAAATTCCTTTGGAATTCCTTTGAACTTTGTCGAGGAAGGAAAGTTTTGCACTCATTATTTGTTATTAAAATCAAGACATTCCTGAAATTATTGCTTTTCAATAATTTTGTTTTTGATTTCTTTTTATTGTTATAAGCTTTATAACTTCAATTTTAATGATTCTAGGAATTTTTTATAATTCTAGAAATCTTACAAATAAGATACCTCGCTTTTGTTTTGAATCAAAATACTTGTCAATCTAAATTAATTACTAAATACAATCTTGAGTTCTTGATTCTGATTTACAAAAGAATAGTTGATAAAATTTCTAACATCGCATGCTATTATCGCGTTAATTCCACTCGTTCAAAAAGCTTAACACATTGCCTCTATATCTTTGGCCAACCCATTTCAACAGTTTTATTGCATCAAAGTTTAATCAAGGATTGAGATTTTGATCTACCTAATGGAAAATTCCCCTTTTGCAAGATTTAATTCGAATAAAATAGGCCACGTTTTCTTTTTAATTTAATTAATATCGCAAATTGAATCGAAAATAGTTTAACACGTAGTATGGAATTATTCTATACTCATATTATCTCAGTTCAAATTTTATCTATATTCCAGAATCCAAACTTCAGAACTCTATTCACATATGTATTTCCACTCAAAATGTATTATTCAATCCTGCTACTTTTAAAATCTTAAATTTCACGCCTCAACATATTTCTCGGATTATATGAACATACAAATTATTAAAAATCCCATGTATTCTTAAAAATTTTCATTTTATTAACTATTATTATGTTACATTAAATAAAATATATTTCTTCATTTGTAACTCGTTATTTGCTATTAATTATTATTGAATATTCGCAAATTGACTTTCTAATCTTATTATTAATTTCTAAAAAATTTCGAATCTCACCTTCCACATTATCATTATCCGAATAATTTATTGAATATTTAAATTAGATTAATTCATTAATCGAATCGATAATTAAACAACAGTAATGTCAACTAGACATAACAAAATTCTAAGTTGCATACGGATCTGACTGGATAAATTATTCGGTATCGAGTCACGTAAGGTTTTTGAAACTTCGAAATTGGATCGACTATATAAACCACGTTTATCTCGACCGCAAAAATATATACAAAGTTGCACAATAACGTTCTCGATATGGCCATTAACCATGGAGAATAGCTGTACCCTCTCGGTATCATGAAACATACAGAGGTTGCAACCATGGTGCATGCATGCCACGAGAATATATCTATGACCGTGCTAAAATCACGAATCTATAAGACATCATCGAGTATACTTTTATCAGCAAAATGCACGTTTTTACCGGTAAGATGCATCATAATGTTGATCTATTAACTTTTCTCTTATCAAAAACTGTTATTCAATTCTATCGATTTTCATTGATTTTCAATAATTTTATGGATTTAATAATTAAAAATTATTACAAAACGGATTGATGATTCTTTTCATCTTTATTTTTTTTCGATGCATTGTTTTTACGTGAAATTATTTTTTTAGAATAACGAATTAGATATCGAGGAAACTTTACCAGAGTTAATTACATTTTAGAGTTCGTCGCGATTAACAGTGAGAGATTCAATTAGTAAGTAATTAGGATCTAACAAAAATCGAACCAAAGATTAACCATGATTCATCCAAACGTTATAGTTGAGAGGTGATCGAGATTTAATTGAAGCCCAACAGTGAGAAGCAATCAACAGTGAGCAAACTGTTACAATGACCAAAATCGAGTTTTATGTAATTTCGTTTATTTTTATTCTAAAGTTAAAATTACTTAAAACTATCTCTTGAAAAATATTCTAAAATATTCTTTAATATTCTAAGAAAAATATCTCTTTTATTATTCCTTGTTGAATTTTAATGAATAAGATAATTATATATTTAAATAATAATTCAAAATTCTTGTAAAGAATAGGAAGATTTATAAAGGCTGAGTGTCAATATCCCATTTATTATGAAATTAATAGGATTAATAGGATTAATTTTGAGTAATTTTCACATATCTTTGAAAGTTGTTCTTAAAAGTGATAAAGCCAATTTACCTTTAATTACAGATTGCATTTATGCAATATCATATTTTTAGAGGTTCTAAAATAGAAGAATAAAAGGAAAAGATAAAACTGAAGCTTAATGATAAGAAGCTACATGCAACAAACTTTCGATCTACAAACGATATAGAATTAACTCTTGTCTATGATCTGAATAACCCATTTTAAATTCAATGAACCCTGACGAGAAATAAATAGACATTAAACCTTTCTAGATACATCAATTTAAATAAAAATCGAATTATTTAAATTAAAAATTATTCTATTAAAATAAATTAATTAATTACAATTTCTGCTTATTTCTTTTTTTCAAAAATATTATTTTTAAAATATCCTCGACAAAATATATCTCTATTCCTTGTTTGAAAACAAAAATTTATCCTGGATTTCGATATTCATACCTACACACTTCATCTTTTTTTCTTCGAAGATTTTGAAGAAGATCTCAATATTTTTACGTATAAATGTATAATACGCCATGAAAATGAAACATCGGTCATAAAATCGAACATAATGTTACGTATTTAATTTAACAACCATAACTTGTAAAGTTTCCTTTCATTGAGATAGATCGCAAACTATGTCTCAAGCGTGAAATTGTAACTTAGAGAAGTTCTCAACTAAACGTCGATGTTAATATAAATATATACATTAAAAAGAATACAAATTTTATCGCGTTTATCGTTACTTATTTCATCTTAAAACTTAATTCTCGTCTTTTATAATAATATAAAATGATTCGTTTCACGAAGAGATTAATTAAAATTCAATTACTCCGCAATCTTGATCGAAGAATGTTTAAGAAACAAAGAGAGAAACAAAGAAAATAAATTTGAAGTTGCATAAATTTATCAAATTGATAAGAAATATCAATTTTGCCGCGTAATTTACACGAATAAGAAAAGTTAAATCGAAAAGCGATACTCGCAGCTGAGAAGATAATACATAATAGCCAATTGTCTTTAAAAGGAAGAAAGTTTGGTGAATGATTGAAGAAAACGTGGACTTAATCGAGAAGACCCTTTGAATTTTGTATTTGAAACTGTGCACAGAAATGTGCGCAACGCCAGAGAAACTTTCTTCATTACTTTTTCTCTGGTTACTCGTTTCAAGGTTCACGAAACATCCAAAGGCAGTATATTTCACGCAACGATAACTTTATCCTTTTTGCATTCACCGAGATTTTTCTTTGTTTCATTCAAATGTCAATCGTTTAAATATATATAAAGAAAGATAATTTTTCGAAACTTCGATTCGGAAAATAAAATTCAAGAATTGAAATCGAGCAGAATCTTTTCCAATTTTCTTAATTTTATTTCAAATTCTCGCATTTTTTTATATATAGCAAGTAGGTTCACAAATGAATTTTAAAAAAGTTTAAAATTCTGCAATCGAATGTTCTAGAATTAAAAAAAATAACAAAATCTTTTTCAGTTTGCTTAATTTCAAAGAATTTTCGTCTAAATATCAATCAAATTTTTTATTCTTGATATATAAATTTATAATTTATAATAGACATCAGCAATTGTAGAATAAAAGGAATACAAATTTTACTGCTGATGTATCTATATAGTTTGTAAAGCGAGAAAAATTGGAAGAGAAGTTAAATTATGAAATTTCTCATTCTTTTTTTGAATTTCGATCTTTAGAGAAATAAATAGTAAGAAAATTTCTATTCTTTTTATAATATTCTAATAAGTCTCTTATTAATATAAATAACTCAAAGATAAAATATTTCAAGGAGAAATATAAGATTATTTTTATAGTCTTACTTTTTTTACTATTCGTAAAATAGTTGCTATTTTAAAAAAACTTTTTAATTATTTTTAGCACTCGAGCATCAATAACAATCGATCTCAAATAACAAACAAGATTGCAAGTCTCTACATTCAAGAGTTCTGATCAATCCAAACGGAAGTTGATGGAGTTGATCGTTTGACAAATTTATCGAGTTAAGACATCATCGTATACCTAAACAGCAGTGTGTTAACAGCATGGCAAAGCGTTACAAGTGAAAATGTAGCGATGCAAGAATTCACCCTAATCGCATGAAGTTGACAAATGAATCGTTTTGTAATAAAACGATCTCGAAATACTGCTTTGCCAGCTCGAAGTTGCAAAAATAAAAGAACCACGAGTATATAGGCATCGAAGCGCGCGCTGTTTAAAATTCGCATGCACGAAACGTAATTTGCGTGACCGGAGAAAAGAGACGATAAAAATTTAAGGGAACACGGATCAATTCATAATTTTACTTCTTTTATCGATTCATATTTCAAGATTATAAAAATTCATTTCGTATTCTGGGAAATTTGTTATTTTAAAATTAAAAATATCATCTATTGAATATTTTATAAAATTAATATAAATAGGAAATGTGGAAAGGATGATTTTATGAAATCAATTACTGCAAATTTTCCTACATTGATGTTCTTTCGATTGAATAATGTATGTTCAATACAATTCACAGAATACGATTTTTATCATTATCATTCTTTTTATAAAAATGGTAAATAAATCTCTTCTATCAAGCATATAACATAGAAAGCGAATTACAAATAATGATTCCTTTTCCAATTAATTTGTTTCCAATAATGATATTAAAAATTCCATGTTAAATTTTAATTTAGAAATGAATAAATCTTTTTTTATTTTTGAATTTTTTCCAATGGAAGTAAATATTTATTCTCGTTCTTCTGACTTTTAGATATAGAATAACTCCGGAAGTGTCAGGGTTGATCAGTTCGCAGAGATTCAATTTAAATAATAAAACAGGGTACTCACCAAGGACACGACAATCAGCTGATGAAGCGTGCACAAAAACTGAAGTTTATAATCATTCACCGCGCTTTACTCACGATACGATTAATCGAACGGATTTAATCGATCCATAATCGTTCAATTCTCACCGATCGAAACTTTTTAAACAATTTGAAAAAACTAATAAATGTTTTTATAATATATTTTCATTGGTATATTATTAATTTCACTTTAATCATAAATTTTCTTGTTTATTTTATTACTTTTCTTTTATTTATTCGCCGATTAAAAATTTAACCTCAAAAGAATGCAAGTATATGATCAATTTGCTTCAAAAATATATATTATGCAGCAGAAGTGCAGAATCTTATTGTCTATATTAAATCGATTTCTCCTGTTATAAACGAAAAAGTTTAATTTATAATTATATACACATTATGATGCATTTTATTGAAAATATATTCTATCTAACGAAAGAATCATTTACGATGTAACAATTTGGAAAAAGAATTAAAACTTTTATCAAATAAAACTTTTTCGCTCGATAATTGTGCCAGAAAAAATTTCACGCTAAATTCTTTTAATTTAATTTTATACAAAATATGATATAAATCGTTTAATTTGTTTTCTACAAAAATATTTTTTATAAATATAGTTACAAGTTCGATAAATAAAAATATAATCATGGCAAGCAAGATTCAATCTCTTATAGAATAGATTTCGTTGTACTCAAGCATTTCCGGTTTAGCAGGATGAAAGCCACATTGATAAAGAAGTTCAGAATACTTGCCGGCTAAAGAACAATTAAGCTACGAAATCTTATGGACGATAGTAACTATTCTGATTAAAATTTTGCTTATACAAGATTTGTTTTTGTATAAAAAGAACAAATATTTTCTAGACTAGAATATTTTCTAAACTTTCGTTAAAAAAATATATTGTAATTATTATTTAAAAGTGTTGATCAAAAATAATTTATTATTAGATTTTACAAAAATTTAATTATAAATGACATTATATAGATGAACAACTGTTACATCTTTGAATACATCGATCTAACCTCACTAAGAAAATTAATCAATGGAAATCTATTTCTATTGTATAAGAATTTTTTAATATCGAATGTCATCTTATTTAAATATTCAAATTTAAAAAAGTTTTGATAATAAATTATGTGAAATAAAAAGACATCTAATTCAACTATGTTGATACGATATTTGATTCAATATTTGAAAATATGACGCTTCGTAATTTCGATAATAAATTAATGACCAGAATATAGAGGTCGTTAAAAGAGAATTCATATATAAATGGCGTCGAAATCAAAATTTGTGTACCTACCAATGTTCATATGTAGCAAATCTTCAGTTGCTTCGTATCAATATTACTTTTATGGATAAATTATCATAATATTACAATGCAGCGTTATATAATAAAAGATTTCATTAACAGACATCATTAAATTTGAAATAATAATTGGAATGTCTTTAAACTGTCACTTTTACTATAAACTATTTATGATCGTTATCGAATAATTTTGTATAAATTGCACGATTATTTTTATCGTTTTATCATTATTATCGAATTATCGTTTTGACACACGACGCTTCTATCATTTTTTCTTGGTATTAGAACCAAACACACTGCCGAGTAATCACTAAAACTTTTTCGAACGAGAACTTTAAAAACTGCGAATCACGCGGCCACGCAACAGCAACTGAACGCTTCTTGTGATAGAAAACGTGACTCGAAGTGCGCGCGCAACCACTAGCGCACCACCAGCGCTAACAACGTTTCAACCCTTACCGTTTACCGCGCATACTCTACAAGGCGGTTAAATTCAAATTACCGCTAAATCTAAGACTAAATTTTGAGAGCCTTCATATTATTTTTATAAGTTATAATTAATTATCAATTCAATAGAAAATAAAATATTAGACGTTATAAAATGTAATAACATAAAAAGGGCAATTTTTTAATTTTCTATTAAGAAACTCTTAATAAATTCTTTGAACCGAATTTGATTTTTCTTTTTAAAAAGTTATTTTTATTATTTAAAAATATTTATATCTTATATTTTTTTAAATAAAACATAAAATAAATTATAGATAATTGTTTTTTGAATATTTAGAAATGTTTGTGAATTATAAAAATATATTAAAAAAAATGATAATAATTTAATAAAAATAATTTTAAATTTATAAAACGTATGACTTATCAGTAATATATACTTAACAATAGATATATTTAACATTTTAAAATTATTGTATTGCCGAATTGCCAAAATCTTTTAAAAACTGGCATTAACCGAACAAGTGCATGAACATGAAAATAGTAATTTAATTACTATCATTAAGTCATTATCATTATTATCAAATCTGATATATTCCTCCATATTATGAGGAAAAATAAGCTGCTAATAATCACATAAACAATAATAATCTTTTCTATAATTGTACAAATAAATATTCCTTCAGAATGAATTTACATATATTATGAAATTATAATATTATGAAAATTGGATCGTGATAACAATAATTGCAATAAAATTGAAAGCATTACTTGATAATGTTTTAAATATTAAACAAATAAAATTTAATACTTTTATTTTAATATATATAAAATATTGGAAAAATTTTGAAAAAACTATAAAATATAAAATGAACAAGAAAATGGAAATATAGAATGTAAAAGAACTTTCATAAGCATCGTTATTTTATTAACAATGTTACACGCACAATCATACATAAAACAACCTTGGCTATAGTTATTGAATGCTGCTCATTTTTAAAAACGAGCCTCGCTATATTGTTCTAAGTCGTTATCTGTATGCCATGTCCGTGTTATATGCCAGTACATTATGTCGATTATACAAAATTAACAATATCACTTTGTAAATACAGGATAATTTAATTGACAAAAAGAAAAGAAAGAATAAGGAAAAGTAAAGGATCGGAAGGAAGGCAACGAAAGAAATCGGATAATATGTGATCATAAAATAGAAAAAAAAAAAAACAAAAATAATTACGAACATGTCCCTCCCTCCATATATAAAAATTACAAATTATATCCAAACCCGCTAGATCTTTAATTATACTTTTCATAAAAATGTTTTCTTTCTCTTGTTTTCTTTTTTCTTTTTTAGTTTTTATAAGAAATAAATATCTATATAGGAATTTACATGGTATTCTTTACTATTCAATAGGAAAATTCTGTACTAACGAATAAAACTTGTTCATAAAAAGGAAAAGGAAATTGATAAATATATTATTTATGCATCGATATTAAAGTTTTTTTTTTATGGTATCCTTTTTTTTATGGTAGATAAAGATTATTTTTTTCTTCTAAGGCTTTTGTTTCTTTCTCTCTCTTTCATTCATTTAAAAAATCGATTATATTGAAAAGATTAAGAGAAATAGTGGTTTCCATTTTTTTTTATACAATTGTATTTTAATTTGCGAGCATGTGTATATAGATAAATCCATAAATATGGTATGGGGGAGAGGAGTAGAAATTTGCGGCACAATGAAGATAAATACAACGAAAATATATTAATTCGCAAATTTTTCTTAAAAATGTTCCTTCCTATTTGCTGGAATTTTTTTTCTATTCATTCTCATCTTTTTTTTTTTTATATATTACTTTTTAAAACTTTTATAAAACGCAACAGCGTTTAAATGATAAAATCATAAGTAAATTATAAATAGTCACTTCGTATTTGCCTTAATAAATTTATTGTTTATTTCATACACGAGACGGATCCCGTTGAAAAATGCTAATAAATTTTTTTTTTTTTCTTTCATTTTTTTTATTCATCCGTCAACTTTGAAAATCGTTGAAAATCATTTTCTTCTTTTGCA